AGGATGTAGTCAAGCAGGTGGACTATGTGTAAGACCCTTGGTTCAAACTGTGGTACTGGAAAAAAAAGAAAAGGGGGAGAAAAATAAAAAAAAAAGAATTGGTAAGGACTGAGAAACTCCAAAAAGAACAAGGTGATCTTGGTTTGGATCTGGGACCACCTTTAGGCAACCTCTGTCCTCCTCCTTCACAAAGCTTAATTTGTTTGAAAGAGGGAAGGCAGGACATTTTAATTTTTATAAAGAAAAGTACATTTCTTTAAAAAGTTTTTTTAAAAAAACTGATTTGTAAGGCTGGGCATGGTGGCACACATCTTTGATCTTTAGGACTTGGAAGGCAGAGACGGGGAATCTCTGTGAATTCAAGTCAGACTGGTCTACACAGTGAGCTCCAGGCCAGCTAGGGCTAGAAGGAGACCCTGCATCAAAAAACAGAACAACAAAATACCCGATTTGTTCAGGGAAATAAAAGAGTGCTTTTGGGAGAAGTAAATAAATAAATAAATCTGAAAAAAATAAATCTAACAATTTCCTAACATACAGTCTAAAAAGATGAGAGGAAGAAAAGACTATGTCATTGTTCTTTCTGATATTTGGAAACTGAAAAAGATAAAATTACATAAAGGATTATTCAAATATACCTTTAAAAAATTCCATCCATTGTATGTTACCTTTTACTGAAAAAAGAAAGGAGGACCGGGCTTGGTGGTGCACGCCTTTAATCCCAGCACTTGGGAGGCAGAGGCTGGCAGATCTCTCTGAGTTCAAGGCCAGCCTCTACAGAGTTAATTCGAGGCCAGCTGAGGTTAGAGGGAGAACCTGTCTCAAAAAGACCGAAAAAAAAAAAAAAAAGAAAAGAAAAAAGAAAGAAAAAAGGAAGGGGATTAACAACCCCTTCCAACAACAAAAAACAACAATCGCATATCTGCTAATTTCTGCAAAAGACACCCAGGAACCAAACTGGAGCATAAATGGTCAAAAGCACAACGAGTGGGATGAGGAGACCTCACCAAAGCTGAAGAGCAGTGTTCTGAATACAGGCTACAAGACCAATGACAAAAGGAGCCACTGTCTTCACAGGAGCAGGGAATGGCCACACAGTAGGGCTGCATAGGCAGTAAATACACTGTTGGATATTGGAGAAAAGTTTTGCTGAGCAGAGGAAGAATAACCCTGTGGTGCTGAGCTGGAGCCGTACACACTTGTAATTTTTAATACATATGCAGACTGACACAGAAATACACACAGATTTTTTTTTTTTTTTTTTTTTTTTTTTTTGTGTGTGTGTGTGTGTGTATGCACGTGTGCGTGACTCCCCCCCTGGCTTTTTTGAGACAGAGTCTCCCTGTAGCCCACGGCTGGTCTAGAACTTACTACGTAGACCAGGTTGGTCTTGGAGCTCAGAGACCCACTAGCCTCTGTCTCCTGAGTGCTGGAGTTAAAGGTGTGGGCTTGGGTTGTATGTAATTTTTGAGGTATATATTTCCAAGTTCTGTCTACTATGATATCCTAGGAGTAATGACATCCCATCGATGTAAGTATACCTAGCACTCAGGTCTCAGTTTTTAAATGCTACTTTCCAATAAAAGGAAACAGTGCTCCTTGGAGAAATGACTGATTCCAGGACTAGGGCAGGGGGATTTTAAAATGAGCCTAGAGCATCTCAGGGCACCATGAAGTAAGGAAGACAAAAACAGCAACCCTCCCCACAAACAATAAATGCCCTATTGAAGAATGCTGAAAGAAGTCAGTTTTAACAGCCAAATCTGGGGCAATTTGATCAATGAAGTAAAGACAGCAGCAAAAATGCTAGAAGAAAATACATATCCACAGATACATGCTGATAAAAATAAACAACTAAGCTGGGCATGGTGGCACACGCCTTTAGTCCCAGCACTTGGGAGGCAGAGGCAGGCGGATCTCTGTGAGTTTGAGGCCAGCCTGGTCTATATAGTGAGTTCCAGGCCAGCTGGGGCTACAGGGAGACCCTGTCTCAAAAAGACAAATAAATAAATAAACAAACAACTAATGAACATGCAGAGGAGAACTGCTGCTCTCCCTTAGAGCAGAACAATGAGTAAACATCGAACAATGGAAAGAGAAAATTACCATGAATCAAACATCCACAGTGATAACTGTGGTACACAAATTCATTAACGGACGCTAGTGTGGGAAAGTGTGTTGTAAAGCCAGGCAGCTGTGGTTTTCTAGTATTTCCCCTCTTCATGAAATACTAAGTAATTACAAAGGGTAACTTGACAGAACAGAAACGTGGGAGACTCCACTTTGGTGGTGCAGTGTCACCAGTAGGAGGATGCTAGCACTGCGGGCCTCTTGATAGCTATGAACTGAGATGGCTTGGCATCACTAATGTGTTTCCCAATACATTACCTCAATCTAGTCACTGAAAACATCACAGAAACCTAAATTGAGGGATATTCTACCAAATGACTGGTAGTCTTCAAAAGTGTAAAAGTCAGAAGAAAAGAAGATGAAAGACCTGGCATTCACCTTCCTGGAATTCACCTTCCAGGCACAGGCAAGACAGCGACATACAGTTCCAGATTCAAAATTTGATCCTGGACTAGGAAAGGACACTGATGTAGTAATGTGTAATTCAACTAAGATCTGTAGAAGAGTTAATAGTATTGCATCAATGCTAATTTCCTGGTTTTGATAAACGTCCCGTGGTTAGGTAAGATCTGAACGTTAGGGGAAATGGGCTGAAGTGCATCAGGGAACATTCTGTAACAGTTTTGCAACTTTTCTGTAAGTCTAAAATTACTTCAAAACAAAGTTAAAAATATGACTTCCACTGAATACATTACCCAAACCAAGATTTAATTTATTCTACTCCAAGTCATCTCTACGTTTTGTAGTACTAGTTATAATTAGAAGTTTTCCCTTTTAATTTAGTTGTTAAACTTTCCAGTTAAAAGATATAAATAGTTGGATCTGGAGGAGTTCCTGTGTGACAGGGAAGAGCTTTGGTATATACTCGAATTTTTCACCATAAAAGATTAAAACACTTGTTAGAGATAACCTTCTAAGTGTCTGCTAACACAACAGATAACTGTTGAGAACTTCTGTAACTCACAAATATTTGGAATCCTATCATGGCATGCTAAGCTACCAGAACCTTGTGTACTGCCTCAGTCTGGGAAAGAAGCAAAAGCCCAGGGAAACATCTAGAGCCATCAAGAGGCTGACGCTTGACCCTGAGGCTCTGGCTCCCACTACCTACCTACTTCATTCTAAACTTGTCCTGAATGACATTTCAGCCACAACATAGCTGCTTCCAATAAGAAACTGACTAAATTTGAACTAGTTTTTTAGACTTGTGGAATGAAAATTTTAATGTATATATAATTTAGACCCATATAAGAAACTCACTATCCTAGTTGTTTCAAACAAATTCTTTTAAACAGGCCTTTTATAGTAATAGTTCATGTTCCTGTTTAGTGATTTGTTTCTTAATCAAAGAATTTGTTTTCTTACAACTCTCCTTTGAAGATTTCAGCTCAGTAATGGCACCTTCCAAACATTTATAGAGCAGAAGTTCTTTTCTGGCATCAGCTGTGTGTCTAACCCTAGCTGATGCTGAAAGCAAAGCAGTGAAGCAAGTTCTTGGTGCTCCGGCTCCCTGTACATGTCTAAGGGGAAGTGGACAAATGCTGAGTGTACGATACGGCGAGAATTAGCACACAGAGCACACAGTGCACAGAGGGTGTGCTCGGCTGTCCTGGTCCTCAAGTGTTCTTACTCACTTAGCAGTGAATAAAAAAGCCCGAAGTTGACCTGGTAACTGGCAGATCAATACTTGACCCCGGCTGCATGATACACAGTGAATACTGCTATCCAGCTCCATCTAATGATGAACTGCTTCATGTCCTGGTGACAGCCAGTGAGGTGGGCCTGCCACCCTGCCCAGTAACTCTGTAATCTTAGGCCATTTATATAATGTCAATTAACTCACTTTTCTCACTAAGGGATACCGAATCTCATCTTGTAAGGTCCCTGTAGAAAATAAATGAATAAATACCCCCAGGGATCTATGGACTGAGAATTTCTTCTACCTTTTATACATTTTTGAGTTTAAAGATGCTACCAGATGCCTGGCACACACATTAAATTATTATTTACTGAGTGACTAGCAAATACATGTTAGATCTAAAAATATTCTTGAGATATATTCAATTTATATTTATTTTTAATTAATTAATTAAATAATTAATTAATTGTTTTGGTCTTTTTGAGAAGGTCTCCCTGAGGCCCCAGCTGACCTGGATTTGCTATGGAGACCAGACTGGTCTTGAACTGACCTGACAGAGATCCACCTGCCTCTGCCTCCCAAGTGCTGGGATTCAAGGTGTGGGCCACCATGCCCCGCCTCTATTTTTATTTTTTGAGACAGAATCTCCCTATAGCCCCAGATGGCCTATAACTCATGGCCTCTGCCTCCTGATTGCTGGGATTAAAGGCATGTGCCACCACACCCAGCAAATGCATTTTTATTTATTATTTAAAAATTATGTGCATGTTTATGGGTTTGTGTACAAAAGCACAGTGCTCAAGGTGGCCAGAAGAGGGTGTGATATCCTCTGGGCTGGAGTTATAGGCAGCTTTTGAGCTGCCTGATGTCAGTCAGTGCTGGGAACTGAACTCCAGTCCTCTATAAGAGCAGTATGTACTCTTAGCTTCGGAGCCATTTCTCTATCCCTCAATGTGTTTGTTAAAAAGACTTGCTAGTGGGTGTGGTGGCGCACGCCTATACTCTCAGCACTCAGGAGGCAGAGGCAGGAGGATCTAGTTCAAGGCCAGCCTGGTCTACACAGTGAGTTCCAGGACAGCTGGGGCTACAGGGAGACCCTGTCTCAAAAGACCAAAAAAAAAAACTTTCTAATGAACTGCACACGTGTCCTGGGAAGGACATTTCCTGGCACATAGGGAATTCACACAGATGGAACCGGCTCTGAAGGGCTGGCCCCCGCAGCAGTACTTACTTTCTACTGTTGCACCTTCATTTGGGTTTGAGTATCCCTCTCCTTTCCGTTTGATTCTACGAATAATGCCTGAATCTTCAAATAAATCTTCTCCTTTGAAATCAAGGAGCTCAATCTAGAATGGAAAAGATTTAACTGAGAGAAAATAAAATCAAAGCCAATTACATATGTAAAGTCAAAGACAACTGATTCTCCCCCTTTTTGGGGGGGGGCTCTTTTTGAGACAGCTATAGCCCCAACTGTCCTGGAACTCACTATGTAGACCAGGCTGGCCTCGAACTCACAGAGATCTGCCTGCCTCTGCCTCCCAAGCGCTGATTAAAGGCATGCACCACCACACCCAGCCCTCCCTTTATTTTATGAAGTTCTTAAAAAAAAAAAAAAAAGCTATCGCTCCTGCCAGTAGTGTATGCACACCTTTAATTCCAGCACTCAGGAGGCAGAGGCAGGCAGATCTCTGTGAGTTCAAGGCAGCCTGGTCTATGTAGTGAGTCCAGGCCAGCTGGGGCTATAGGGAGACTATGTCTCAAAAAGAGGCCAAAAAGCCCTCCACCATCATCTATGCAGCTTAGTTGGCAGGACTGGAGAGAACACTGCGCTCTCCACTACTTGGAAAGAACCCAGGTAGTGATAATGTCTAGGACTACATCCTGTGGGCTGCAGAGCTAAGACAGACAGGAAATACTAGGAAAACTGCCTTGTGGGCAAAAGGCCAGAGCTATGAGGTGTTGGCATAGAACTATTTGGTCTGACTCTGAGGTCACCGCTTTCCACCCAAGATTTATGAAGTTTCCATTTTAAAATGTAAAAGTAAAACCTAGGAATCTGGTCTATGACTGACTAAAGATGGATTTTACCTTGTTAGGTAAAATCAAGTTTTACCCATTATGTGTAAATAATTCAATCTGCTGTTCCTGATGAAGACAGGAGGCCTGTGACTCTCTAATCCTTTATAACTTACCACATCAGCATTCAGTATACCATTTCTAGCCTACCGGTTTTGGGTATATCTCCCCCCTCCTGCCCTGTTTTTGTGTTTTTGAGACAGGGTCTCCCTGTAGTCCTAGCTGGCCTGGAACTCACTATGTAGACCAGGCTGGCCTTGAACTCACAGAGATTCACCTGCCTCTGCCTCCCAGTGCTGGGATAAAGGCGTGCGCCACCACGCCTGGCTCTGACCAGAGCTTTTCTTCTAAATCTGTGCCATTTGTTTATCTAGATTTTTTTTCCCCCCAGACATAGGTTTCTAAGAAAGCACTGGCACACCCCTGGGTGTGTGGGAAACAATTCAAGAAGCCAAGCTCCAAAGTAACTAAGTTGGAGCTGATTCTCAGTAGCAAGCCTGGCTCCCTCTTCTGCTGTGGCACAGTACGTGCCGCACAGCGAAATCACACACATACTTGCCTCAAAAAAGAGAGTTGCATTCGAAGGAATTTTCGGGAGGTTGCCAGAAGAGCCGTATGCATATTCTGGCTTACACAACAAATGGCAGATCTCCCCTTTCTTCATGGTAGCCACCCCAATGTCCCAGGCCTTGATAACCTGACCTAAGAGAAAGCAAGAAAACGTTTCTTCAAACAAGGAAGTTTATGTTCTTCTATCAAAACATAAGAACTATATATTCAGGGTATTTTATTTTTCAACAGTTTCAGAAACTTAAATTTTCTGCTCAACTGTAGAAGTTTAACGGGCTACCTACTTGCAGCATTGATATTTACAAAGTTTTTTTGTTTGACTTTTATTTTTTTGAGTCAAGGTCTCATAATGCAGCATAGGCTAGCCTTGAACTCCTAGTCCTCCTGACCGATCACCCTAACCTCTGAGGTGCTGGGATGACAGGTGTGTGCCACTATGCATACTAATAGTCAAAGTGTTATCACATGCATTATTAACTATGTCTTACTATAAGCAGTCTCAAACTCTTGGGAAAACAATAGAAAATTTAGGTAATTAGAAAAAAATACTTGAGGTTTTATCAATCAAAAATAAGCACTGAGGCCAGTGAGATGGCTCATTAGGTAAAAGCATTTGCTGCTAAGCCTGATGATCCAAGCAAGTTTGATCCCCGGGACCTATGTGGTGGAGAGAACTTATTCCTACAATTGTTCACTGACCTCCATGTACGGCACACCCATAAATGAAAACTACAAATAAAAATAAATAGTAATTTTAAAAAAAGCTTAAGCATTGAAGTAGGAACCCCAGAAGAAGTGAATTTTTAAAATTAACTGTTGCCTTGGACTGAGAGAGAACTGGGTTAATGGCACCCACATATACAAGAAAGCATTTGCTACTCCTGACTTCAGCTGAGTCTTCATTAAGTTTTTTAACTCTTCAAAACATCAGTTCCAGGGGCTGGAAAGATGGCTCAGTGGTTAAGAACACTGGCTGTTCTTGGGAAGACACGGATTCGAATCCCAGCATCCACATGGCAGCTAACAACTGTCCATAACTCCAGTCCCAGGGGATCCAACAGCCTCTTCTGACCTGTCGGCACTGCACAACACGGGTATACTTACCTACATGCAGGCAATACATGCATGCACATAAAAATAAATATTTTTTTAAAAAAGAGGAATATACAAAATAAAGAGTAAAGGCCATCCATCCCTTCCTTGTAAAAATTCATTGCTGAAGCCGGGCGTGGTGGTGCCTGCCTTTGATCCCAGCACTTGGGAGGCAGAGGCAGGCGGATCTCTGTAGGTTCAAGACCAGCCTGGTCTACATAGTTAGTTAAAGGACAGCTGGGGCTACAGGGAGACCCTGTCTCAAAAAGACCAAAAAAAAAAACAAACAAACCAAAAAACCCATTGCTGGTTAGGTATCTCGTGTCAGATAGGCTGTTACTTTAACAAAGTGAAAGTGTAAATGACAGCATGTTATACATTCAATACAAATTGCTCTCTGATTTAACATACAACTTCACGTTCTTTGTCTATGACTAGAAGGAACCTGGACTTGAACCCAGGTCTGCCCTTTACTAGCTGTGTGAACTTGTGTCATTTGATCTCTCTCTGTTCCTTTGTTTCCTCACTTGCAAAATTTACATAACAGCCCTTTGTCATACGGCTGTTTGAAGATTAAATACACCAAACACATGGCCCAGGGCCTGGTACACAGCACATATTTAATAAAGGAAAGTTGCTGTCATTGCCATTACCATCACCACCACAAATAAATCTCTCTCTCCTTCATTTTCTTTTCTTTTGAGACGGCCTTACTATATAACTCAAGCTGGCCCTGAATTAGTCATCCTTCTGCCTCAGCCTCATGAGTACTGGGATCAAAGACACACACCACTAAGCCTGTCTGGCTCACTCTTTAATATAAAATTATTATTGGGGCTGGAGAGACGGCTCAATGGTTAAGGGCACTGATTGCTCAAAGACCCGGGTTTGATTCCCAGCTCCCACATGGTGGTTAACAATCGTCTGTAACTCCAGTTCCAGGGGCTTTGACACCCTCTTCTGACCTCCTCAGGCACTGCACAACAAGGGTGCATTACACATGTGCAGGCAGTACACACATACACATAAAAGTAATAAATACAATAAAATTGAAAAATTATTATTTTGTGCCAGGCATGGTGGCGCACGCCTTTAATCCCAGCACTCAGGAGGCAGAGGCAAGCGGATCTCTGTGAGTTGGAGGCCAGCCTGGTCTACATAGTAAGTTCCAGGCCAGCTGGGGCTACAGGGAGATCCTGTCTCAAAAACAAACAAAAACCAAAACAAACAAAAATTATTTTGTGTGTGTATATGTGTGTGTGTGTGGGGGTTAGGTATGTGGAGCACATATGCTACGTATGGTGTGCTACGTAAAGGTAAGAGGACGATTTTGTGGAGTCAGTTCTCTCTTTCCACCTCTAGGTGATTTCAGGGATTGAATTCAGGTTGTTAGGCTTGTGAGGCATCTCGCTGGCCCTATTTCATTCCTTTAAAATATTCTTTATCACTTTATTGACTGATTGTGTGCTCAAGGACACGTATGCTAATAAGCACATGACAGTCAGGGGATGACTATGGGACCAGGTTCTCTCCTTCTACCTTGTGGATCCTGGGGATCGAACTCAGTCAGGCTCTGCAGCAGGGGCCTTTACCTCTTGAGCCACCTCACCAGTCCTATCTTGTTATTTTTTTTTAATTTAATTTTTATTTTTTTATGTGTATGAGTGTATTGCCTTTATGTGTCTAAGTGCACCATACTGTATAATGCCCTCAGATGTTAGAAGAGGGCACCAGATGCCCTAGAAATGGAGTTACAGGTAGTTGTTGTCATGTGGGTGCTGGGAATCGAACCCATGTCCTCTGTGAGAGCAGCCAGTGCTCTTAATCACTGAGCCATCTCTCCAGCCCCCCATCTCATTCTTAATGTTATATAATATTACATGTCCTATTGAGAGCCACAGCACCAGCAGTCCTGTAATGAGGACTTTCCTGCCTGCTTCCTGCAGGTATACCAGGAGGGTAAACCCTAGGTGGCATTCCTCTTAATGACAGATATTACCCAAATGCTTTCACAAAATGGCTACATCAATTCATGTGTCCGTCACTCATGGTTTTGTTAGGACAAATGCCTAGAACTGAAGAGGCTCAAAGCCTGCTGTTAGAAGGCTGCTTCATGTCACTGATGCCCTTCAAGGACTGTACTGTTTTAGTGTCAGCCACCAAGGCTGTTTTAAACTTTAACCCTGATACTCTTAAAACAAACACTTTACAGATTCCTATTAAAAAAAAAAATCTATCAGTGGGGGATATTACTGTATACCTGCTCGAAACATTTGGTCCATTCATAAGGGGCAAAGGCTGGTACTAGGCACTCTAATACAAAGGTAAACCCTTCTTTCTTCACAGGAATATGCAATGCAGTATGTACTGCTAATGGAGAAGAAAGACATACACATTCTTTTTTGATACAGGGTCTCCCTGTAGCCCCAGCTGGCCTGGAAGTCATCATGTTAACCAGGCTAGCCTTGAATTCATAGAGATCCACCTGCCTCTGCCACCCATGTGCTAGGATTACAAGAGTGTGCCAGTGTTCAGTTTTTCACCTGGTGTGGAGTTTGAACCCATGGTCTCATGAATGCTAGGCGAGCCTTCTACCAACTGAGCTGCACCCACAGTCCACCTCCTTTTTTTAAACAAAACATCCTAAGCACTAAAACAGCACACCCACAAGGGCACAGAAGTGTCAGTAATTCTGCCAGGTGAGGCTGTGGGAAATGAGCAAAAGCCTAATTTGTGGTGATATCTATGCTAGGCCTTAGAAGTGGGAAGTACCTCTTTTTTGTCTTTTAAATTCAGTGGATCCCTAAGCTGAATAAATGATGCCAGTAGCTGTGCCTTTTCCTTTGGAACACTCAAGAACACAAGAGATATTAAAGGACTTCTTACACAAACCTTCAGAAAAAGAATGAAACACATTGAACAGCCAGACTGACATGACACAAATATGCTTCTAAAACTGAATGTCAAGACTCCTTCTTAGTGAGTTTCCTTCCCTCCCTCCTCCGCTCCTTTCCTTCCTCTCTGACAGGATCTTAGACTGGTCTGGAACTCCTTATGTGACCAAGACAACTGAACTCCTGATCTTCCTGCCTTACTTCCCAATGCTGTGATTGCAGGTGTGTACCTCTATGCTCTTCTGAAAGGCCATTTTCCCATGACTTCTGAAAAATAACATATACACACAGAACACCATGAAAGACTAGAAACACACAGAGAATATACATCTGAAAACCTCTGAAGGGACTAGAGAGACAGTTCAGCTGTTAAAAGTGAATACTGCTCTTGATGAGGACCCTAGTTCAGTTCCAAGCACCCACGTAGGAGGTACACAACTTCTTGTAATGCCAGTTGGCTCCAGGGGATCTGACACCTCTGTGGGTACCTGCACTCACATGCACATACCCACACACATACACATAAAAAAAATTTTAAGTGAAACTTCTGAAATCCTTACATCTAAGGAAACTGCCAAGTTCCTTTAGATTATATATAGAATGTAGGTTTGCATATTACATTTCTATGTGTACATTATTAAAACTGGTGTTATACTTGGCTTTGTAGCCTGCTCAACATATTTCACATTATAAAAGCACTTTTCTTGTTGATGTCTGAACATATTTTAATGACTTTAACATTCTTTTACAATCTTCAGATTCCCAAAGAGCACGCTTGTGAACTCTCTGTGAATTTCTTTGTATATAGTAAAAATCTATAGGATGATAAGATCAAAGACTGGTTGGTAGACTAATTTAAATAGCTGTTTAAATGAGGAACCATAAAAGCAACTCATTCATTCATTCATTCATTTCATTCATTCATTCATTCATGGTTTTTAAGACAGGGCTTCCCTATAGCCCCAGCTGGCCTGGAACTTGCTATGTAGACAAGGTTGGCCTCAAATTCAGAGATTTGCCTGCTTCATCCTCCTGAATGCTGGGATTAAAGGTATGTGCTACCACACCTGGCTAAATATCTCATTTTAAAATTTAAAACATAAAGTCTATTAATTCATAGCATGTTAGAGGTCAAGGCTTTGTTGT